AAAGTAATTCCTAATCATTTGTAAAATCAAAGATGCCATTGCAAAGTATTCATTTCAACATTTATAAATATAAACTATAATAATTTTATTATATGTCAATATCTTCAATATTATAAAATTAAAGTTAAACAACTGTGCAACAAAAATATAAAACCAATATTATAAGTGTATACCATCATCAATCACTTTCAGAATAAGCAAACTTGCCCTTTTCATTATTATCACTATCATCATTAAAAGTTTCTTTGTCTTCGTCTTGAACTTCATCTTCATTATTTTCATCTCCCTCCATCTCATTTTCTTCATCTTCATCTCTTTACATGTCATCATCATCATCCTCAATCAAGAGATTAAACTCTTCATAATCACCACTTGCTAAAACTATAAAATTATCAAGTTCTTCCAATGGAGTACCATTAATTGAAATAGACACATCTTCTCAGTATACTTCTTCATTCAAATCAATTTCTTTTGCTCTATCTCCACTACTAGCAATGTGAAATCTACTCCTAGCTTTTGTTTTAAATACTGCCCACCAATTACGTTGATCCCTTTTGGTTAATGGATAACTACTATAATAAACTTGGTGAGCTTGTGCAGCTAAAATAAATGGTTCATTAGTGGCAAGTATTGAGTTGTGTTTAATTTCAACAAGACCATGCAAAGGATATACCTTAATACCTTTTTCAATGTCAAACCAATGACACTTTAATAGCACAACTCTATTTCCAATACCCAAATACTCTAACTCGATTATATCCACTAAAATATCATAAAAGTCACGCTCATAATCATTATAAAAACACCCTTTTATGCAAACCCCACTATTCATTGTCTTACAATTTTGTTCGTAATCTAGGGTGTGAAACTTGAAACTATTTACAAAGTATCCTTTGTAACACCTTATCATATGTCTTGGACCATGAAAGATTTCAAGTATACGTGGGTCAATTTCATCCTTACGTTTAGCAACCTATGAACATGAAATACAAAACCAAAAATTATTAATTACATAATTAATGCCTCAATGTTATTAAAAGTTCACTGCCAATTTACATAAACTTACATAATTTTTAAACCATTTCATGAATCTTGCATCACGTACTTTCTCCAATTCATCTTTTGATATATGCACAACATCTCTCTTCACCATTTTAT